GCCGGTTGAGCTATAGGCGCCGAGCCGAGTTGTAGCCTTTTTAGTGTTAAAAATCATAAATTTGAGAGAGTTTGATTATCTATCAGTAGTGAGATTGTTGAATGAATTGTAGAATATCTGTAGATCTCTTGGTGGCCTAGAGAGAGGCCCATAATATACAGAGAAAACCAAGATTCAAAGTGATTTGTTTTAATGTGTTCCATCTTTGACATGTCTTTGTATATAGATATGTTCCTTTATACAAATAGAGATATAGACAAATACCTTTTTTTTTTTAAGATACCCTTTTTTTTTTTGTAGAGACAGAATCTCACTTTATCGCCCTCAGTAGAGTGCTGTGGCATCACACAGCTCACAGCAACCTCCAGCTCCTGGGCTTAGGCGATTCTCTTGCCTTAGCCTCCTGAGTAGCTGGGGACCACAGGCACCTGCCACAATGCCCGACTATTCTTTGTTGCAGTTTGGCCGGGGCCGGGTTTGAACCCGCCACTCTCAGTATATGGGGCTTGTGCCCTACTCACTGAGCCACAGGCACCGCCCAACAGATACCTTTTCAGAAGGGTGAAAATGGGGTAAGGTCAATGCAGAAGAAGATGAAATTATTACTTATTTCTTAAGTTTTTGTATTTTTAAGTGTGCGTTTAAGAGGCTACCACCAGGTTCAGTACCTTACTTACAGTGGTACTGTTTAGGTAAATGGAAGACTAGTTTTCCTTTTTAAAAGGTTATATTCTTTGATTAATCTGATTCATTGTTGTCTATGATGTATTCCTGTTGGAACTGAATCTGAGTGATCTAACTCAAATGTTCGTCACTACCACTGAGACAGCAATGACTGGAGTATATGTATGCTTCCTTATATAAAATGTTACACTGCACATAAAGATATATAGGACAAAACAGATAAAATAGCTGACAAAAATCAGGTCTGACAAGCTAATTTTTAATGGCATTTGTATTAAGGAGACAAATGAATGCCATGAGGTTCTTGACCTAAAAGGGACTGAACTACTTCTTGGGTCAATTCTGTATTATGTAGTAAAAGTCATCTCTGTAGTACTAAGCAGCATAGTTATGTTGGAGCTTCAGGGTCTTTACCATTGGCCTAAGTTCCTTCAACTACTATAACTTTTTCTGTTACAGTTCTAGCCAACATTTTTTCATGAGTATTTGTATTTTGCAGAATCTCTGTACCCATATAACATGTTTCTTTCTTTTTTTAAATTCTAGAGTAAAGCTAAAACATTTTGAGAAATTTCAGGATACAGCAGAAGCATTAGCAGGTAAAGTCAAAGACTAGAGGGAAACTTGCTTTTTAAAAAACATTTAAGTCTTGGCAGTTTGTTTTCCTAGTAAAAGGTTGTTTGCTTCAGTTGCCTGAGTTAATCTTTTTCAATGTTGTCAATGATGCATTCTTACTGGAACTGAATTTAAGTGATCTAACTCAAATTCGTCACTACCACTGAGACAACATTGAGTTAGCTTTTTTCACCATAGGGCTGATTTTCCCCCCATGTGATGAGAGGTGACAAGTGGTTAAATTGATCTCCCTGTGGAAACCAACAGCATAATGCTGAAGCACAGTTCAGTAAAAGCTGTTCTACAAGGGACCAAGGTAATGTGGTCAAGTACCCAGCTCTTTGCTTTTGAAGCTGAGAATAACCAGGATTCACAGTTGAAAAGCTAATAAACTTTCACAAGAAAGTCCTCCTGGAGTATACATTTTCAGTTCAGAAAAGCATATCAATATTATTAAAAGTTGTGGGGAGGCTCATTGCCTGTAGCTCAAGCAGCTAAGGCACCGGCCACACCAGAGTTGGCGGGTTCGAATCCAGCTCAAGCCTGCCAAACAGCAATGACGACTACAACCAAAAAATGGCTGGGCAAAAAAAAGTAGCTGGATGCCTGTAGTGCCGGCTACTTGGGAGGCTGAGGTAAGAGAATCATTTAAACCCAGGAGTTGGAGGTTGCTGTGAGCTGTGATGCCAGGGCACTCTATCCAGGGTGACAGCGGGTATCAATTTTTCAGTTACTTAAAAGCTGTATCACAAGTTAGTCAACTGGGTGGTTGCATAATAGGAAATGAAGAGCATAGGAAGAATGTGGCTAGATTAATTTTGTTCGCCACAGTGGAGAGGTATGGTTCTTGTGTGGAAATTGGGAATATAACTAAATATGCTGGAATATTAATGGGTCCCTCAACCTGCATAAGAGTCACCCAAAGGAAGAACCAACAATTGGGTCTATTTCTTTATTTTGTAAATAA